TGTACATTTGGGGGGAAGCTAAAAAAACTCCACACAAGTATTTTCTTGGGTGAGTGAAATGCTTTTAGGACAAGATTTTGGTCAAAATGTGTAATATGATGATTTGTATTATCATGCAGCTACAGCATTAGTGTATACGGCAGACAATTTATTTAAATGAGACTGATCTTACCCACAATTAATATGGTACATCTAGTCATACTGCAATTGTATGAGACAAATAACACTTTCCCTTTTGTTTTTTATTTTCAACTTTCACTTTTTTCTCACCACTTAGATGACAGAAACTAAGATACATGCACTAAGGACATAGCAATTTCTCTCTAGTATTGCTTTATTTGCTTTTCTCATAGAAAACTCTAGCATCTACAATTTGTAAAAATATCAAATAAATGCTGGAGTTCAGGATTAATAACTGTTACTCAGATAAATTTACATTTGTTTTCTCAAACGAAACCAATCCTTTTTATGGTTTCAAAAATTTCCAGAAAGCAACTACGAATGCTTCAGCTTGCCCAGTTAATCTCACAACAGAAAATATACTGCTTTGGAAGCCTCAGGGGAAAAAAATCAGGGAAAAACCCCACAGACTCCTCATGTTGGAAATCCCAAATGAATAAATTAAGATGATGACTCCACAAGAGCAGCCTAATATCAAACTACTCAGAACAGACCAGTCTCTCTCTCACACACACTGCTTGCCCTACCACTTCCAAATTCAAAGTAAGATTTAGGAGAACACTGTTCCCAATACCTGATCTATGCTATTAAAGAAAAAAAAGAATTTAAATACATACAATCCTTTACCAAACCTGAAGTTATTTTACTGCTTTAACAGTATACATTACTGCAATGAACTCCTCAACAGAGTATTGTCATAACACACATTATAGCAAACTGCAGCCCAAATCAGAAAGTTTAAACTATAAATGTATCTTTGAGAATATGTTGTATATGTTTACAAAGCACAGCCACGAATTCCCATTAGCCAGTGCTATAGATTATATTACATAAATCTACATATTTGGAGTAATACCCTGTCTTAAAAAGCATTTTAGTCATACAGAAAATATTCTGCAAGCTCCTTTTTTCCATACTCAAATGTTTCTGTTAAAAAAATGGAAAAAAGCCTTTAGGAGGATTTTTCTCTCCAATGCTTTCTATGTTTCCAGACTTTCACATCTAATCTAGGATATTTTTGTATTTTAAAAGACTGCTACAAACTCACAGTTATCAAATCATCTTGGATATTGGGAACTGCTGAAAAATCTCATTTAAGATTAATTCAGATCCAGGAGGAGTCTCCCTACCTTCTGTTTGTACCCTAGTAAGCAGGCGCAGAGGGAGGATTTTATATGAGTGCAAACAGAACAGCATTTTGAGACAAGAAAATTTAATTTACTCAATATTGCTGCTTTTGATTACAAAAAAGAAAACCTTAATTAAGCAAAAACTACATAACTACATAACATAATGTATTAGCATTAGCACTTTATGAAATTCTTGTTTTATTGTTATTGCATTTTAAATTGTTTTTTATGTGAATGGTCATTATAGACCAATTATGTAAGCTGCCCTGAGCCCCCTGGCAGGGAGAGCGGGGTATAAACTAAAATAAATAAATAAATAACTATGGAGACAAGGAAAAATAAAACCAGTGATAAACGCAATTCTCTTTTCTTGGTCTAAAGCTTAGTCCCCCCCTACCCACGATGCATATGATTAAGGAGTGTGCCCAAAACTCTTAAAATGTTAGGCCTCTCTTTCATTGAACTCTCTTGCTATCCAGGGCAATGTCAAACCTTACCTCGTTATCTTTTGCTCTGTCAGCTACTGCACAGCAACATATAAACTGGCATCCTGCTAGCCTGGTAGACTGAAAGCTACAGAAAAGAACTTGACCTGTTACCTTGCTCACCTGTAAAGGTAGTTTTAACTTGATCTCTGAACATTAACAAAGTACAATTTAAACATTTACAATAATTTTTTTTCACACAGATATATATGGATGAAATTTTATCCTTTTGAAAATAAGCATTACCATGTGCATTCAGAAGCATAATTTTATCCAGAAATACGTTCTTACAGGTGCATAACTCCAGGCCTGCAAATAGCAACTAGCCTGCCTGTCTAAAGGGACATCCTTGGTTTTAGAGAGCAAGAACTGCATCTGGTGACCAAGCAATACAGAATTTACAAACGCCAAGATAATGATTTCTTTCTTTCCTCAGAAATTCTGTCCACACAGGTGGATTAGCTGTTATCTGTGGTTTTATTTCAAATTCTAGATCTGGCCAGTGTTTTATCACCATGTATGAGCCCTGGCTTGTATTTTTGTTATGTTCAGCCAAAACTGGCTCATCATTGGCTCAAAAGGAAAAAAAGACATTAACATTCAGAGCAAGCATTTCTCAAGGAGATGCCTAGCTACTTTCTACCCTCCGTCAGGTAAGTACAGAAAAGGGCAGGGGCAAATAAATCGGCCTTGCTTGCTTGTTAATCCCCTCCTTTATAATTGGGGGCTATTCAGTACAGGGACCCTGAATAACCATGCCGGGGGGGGGGGGAGGAGAAGAGCCACACGGGGTTCTGTTCACACCCTTTCAAAATATATACCAATTTACTTACTTTAAAACATGTACAAAATAAATACAGAGCCAAACTTGGATCCGCAACCGGGCATGGCCAGGAGTTCAGTACAACACCCGCAGCGCCAATGTAAAAAATGAACCCCCAGCCTCACTCAAACAAGCAATGCGGTTGACCGCGGAATATATTCCCTAACAGCCACCACTCAAGTCAGAAATATGCGTATGTATGGGAAAAAGAGAAAGCCCTGGACTTCCTGTTTTGGCATTCACCATGGCGGCCGCTTTCTCCCGGAGCTCCGGGAGACGGCTGCCAGAAGCCGTGGTGAGGAGGGCCCACACCACCCCCAGAGTGCTTTGTTGGGCTCCCAGCCATGGGGCGGTAGAGAGCTCTTCCTCCAGCGACCCTGCAGGCCAAGGAGGGCTTCTCCATGCCCTAAAGGTCCCGCTGCAGAGAATCCTGAATGGGAACTAGAAATCACACACTGGAACAAGCGTTTGGTGGCCGAACGAATTGAAAACGAAAGCTGATTTATCATTGAAAAGTGAGTTAACGGTTAAGCGAAAAACACCGAAGATTGAGCTGAAAACCTCCCCTTTGAAAGTGAGGGGGAGGGAACTCTCCCCTGCTAAGAAAAACTAAGTGAACATCGAGCCATTACGAAAAGGGGGGTGGGCTAATGAAGAAAGATGAACTGAAATAAAAAGTATTTAAGAACTTACCAGGCTGATATAAGAGTACCAGAGACTGATAACTTTTTACAAAAAGTAAACAATTTCCCAAATATGGCGCCCACGAGGAAGGATGAGAAAAACAATCAAATGAAACCTAAGCTTCTTGCTGGAACTTACCAGCCCAGTGAGTTCTGTGCCTAGACAGGACACAACTACAGAGCTTCAAAAAATGCTGACGGAAGCACTGCGCCCTCTGCTGGAACAGGTCATGGCACCGCATCAAAAATTCAATGCACAGCAAACCCAATTAACTGAGATAGCAAAAAAAAAAAAACCGGAACAAGAAGTGAAAGAGGTGGATGCCAATATTAAGAAGCTTAAAAAACAACTGTAGGCGATGGGAAAAAAAGAGACTGATTGAGGAGTCTCATGTGTTACAGCTGCAAATGGAGAGAGCAAGCTATGTCTTAAGATTTCAAGGTGTTCCAGAAGAGAAAGGAGAGAATCTGAAACAGACTATGCATGATTTATTAGGCCCTATGACAGATATAAAAACAGATATACTACAAAGCAAAATTGATATGATCTATAGGTCGTACCCAGAATTTACAAGAAAGAATCTGCCAGGGGAAGTGATAATAAGATTCTCCAGAAGACAAGTGAGGGATCAAATCCTCAAAGCGACAAATGGATCTACCTTGAAAATCAAAGAGAAAGAAATAAAAGTGTTGAAGGACATCCCGTTTGAAATAAGGAAAAGAAGAAAATATGGAGACTTGGTATTATTTCTACAGAAGAATAACATCCCCTACAGATGGATTGTACCCGAAGGCGCAATCTTTAAATTTATGGACAAGAAAGAAAAAATTGACTCTGTTGAAAAGGCACCTGAATTTTTGCATCAACATAGTTGACCATCAGGAGAAATAGAAGTGGAGGAAGAGGACAGCAACAAAGAAAGTGAAGAAGAGGGAGCAGTGGCATTCTCAGATGAGGCCTCAGACTCTAAATTGGGAGCAGCAGCCCCGAAAACAAGCTAACACTTGAGAAAGAAAAAATATAAAAAATGAAATGTTATTGTCCTCTGAAATCTCTTACAATGTATTGTTATAATTATTTCTTATTTTGCTTTTTAAGAAGTCAGAAATGGTAGTGTTTAAACTTTTATATTAATTTAAAATGATTACTAGATGACCATATTCAATGGACTTGAATCGAATATGGAGTTAAAAGCTAACTTGTTAAGTCTCTTGGGTTTTTAGTGGGTTTTCTTTACTTTCTCCTATAGTCTCTACATCCCCTTCCTAATTAAGTTGTAGTTTATAGAAAAGGCAATAAAAAATCCCCAAGGGGGGCACTAAAAAAAAAGAAAAAAAGCCTTCCAGACGGTAAGACCGCGAGCATTCGCAAGCCCACCAACGGGACCTAGCGCAGCGACCCATTGCAATTTTATGCAAAATTAGTACAACTTTTCTTAGTATGCGTACGCCACAGGCACACGACCTGTTGCCGAAACCTGTATGCTAGCATCGAAGACCCGCGCGTTGCCACGCTCCCACGAAACGGCTGTAAGTGCCCGGAAAAGAGGCACGAGTATGCGCGCGTGAGTCAAGGCGCCCCTCCCCCACTGGGAAACCGTGGCGCGTCTGCTAGGGCCACCTCACCAACGTGGGACAAAGGCCTTGGCCGGGACTCCTCCCTCCCTCCCTACTGTGGGCCTGGCGGCGGCGCAATTACCGGCTTGCAGGAGCTGCATGGCATGCGTGAAGGAGGGATCCAGGCTGTCCTTCTCGGCCATGAGCTCGGGCAGGTACTTGTTCTCCGGCTCGGTCTTCACAGTGGCGCCGGGCATCAGCGGGGTGGGGGGGGAGCTGGGGGGCGGCGGGGCCGAGCCGGTGGCGGAGGGCGGCAGGAGAGGCGGCGGCCACCAGCCTGGGCCGACTGGAGGCGGACCGAGGCGGCGGCGCCTGGGGCCCTGCCCAGGCGGGCGGCGGTGAGGTCCTCGCGGCGCTGCATCCGCGGCCGAAGGAGCGGCAAAGGCGCGCGAGGAAACAGGGTTGCCACGCCGACCGAGCGCCGGGGCCGCTAAGAAAGGAAGTGATGGGAGATGGAAGGCCCGGAGCGGAACGCCTCGCGCTTCTCCGACTGCTTTTCTGTCAGGCGCGAAACCCGCAGCCGCCACCAACCGTCGCTCAGCTCAGCTCTCCACTGCGCTTGCGTGAGCCCAGGAAACCGCCTACTGCGCACGCGCAAGACCCACCTCGAGGCGAACAACAGAAAAAGCTCCGTCGCACTGGATGAACTGCGCAGGCGCAATATCGCCTGATTGCGGGGCACCGCCTTCCTTTCTCCTCCGCTCGCCGCGCGCACCCTTCGCGCACGCGTAATGTGAAAGCGTTTTCAAAAGACGCATGCGTTGTCAAACAATCAGCTCGGGGGAAGGGGGAACAAAGCTGCCTGGCGAAGTTTATCGCTGCGCATGCGGAAGGCTGCCTGCGAGGTAAGAACAAAGCGGAGCCGTGAGCGCATGCTCGCTAGAAGAATTGCGCATGCTTCCCAGAGGTGGCTTTTTTGGCAGGGCGGGGTGTACGTGTGGCTAGGTAGTGAAGTTCGTGGTGCGGTGCCTGAGTTCAACTTGATATAGCCGTATAGTTTTTCTCAGGCTGGTACTTGATGTAATGGGACTTTAAGCTGCACAGAATTATGGCTTGTAGCTGTAGTATTACAGCACACTCCTATGCATGTTTACTCAGAAGTAGCTTACACTTTGTGCAAAGGTATTTATTTCCAGGTAGCAAATATAGGGCTGTAGCTCCAAGCCCGCAGTATAGTGTGGCTCAGTCTCTGTTTTCCGGAGCTGTGAGAAATTCCCCTGAGTTATGCTGCCTGGCTGATTCCCTTTGGAAGGCATGAGATGGAAAGTTAGTGCTATGTAATTTATTTGCTTTTTTAAACAAATGTACAGGTGGAGGCAGAGATAGGCTACCGCAGATCAAATCCACACAAAGAGAGATTATGCTGTGTACTCCCCTATGACTCGATTAACTCCCAGCAGTGTGCTCAGCCAGTTTGGTGTAATGGTTAAGTGCGCAGACTCTAATCTGGGAGAACCAGGTTTGATTCCCTACTCTTCCACTTGTACCTACTGGATGATCTTGGGCAAGCCATAGTTCTGACACTGCTGTTTTTGAAAAAGAGCAGTTTTTGTCAGCTCTCTTAGCCCCACCTACCTCACAGGGTGTCTGTTGTGGGGAGGGGAAGGGAAAGGAGTTTGTAAACTGAGACTCCTTTGGGTAGTGAAGGGTGGGGTATAAATCCAATCTCTTCTCTTCTCTCTCTACTCAAAACTGCTGTTTCTTCACAGGCAACCCACATCTCTGTTCCCTCGTCAACTGAAAAAGATCATGTTTCTCAAACTTTCAAAGGCACCACAAAGATCCACTTGGCCCCCGCATCCACAGTCATGAAGGAATATCCCTCCCCCCCCCCGCCGCCCTGGTTCCACTTCCATGCACATTGATCCGATGGAACAGTATTACTACAGGCTTGGGTGTTCCCACTCTTTTGCTGTCAAGTTGCAGTGACTTACAATTGCCTGCCTCTGTGTAGAAACCCTGAACTTCCTTAGTGGTCTCCCATGCAAATACTAACCAGGCTGACCCTCCTTAAGCTTCTGGGATCTGATGCGTTGCGCTAGTCTAGGCCATCCAGGTCAGGGCTGGATTCTCTTTACAGCGGATCACCCTACTCAGAACCAAACTGAATGGTAATGCATTGTAGCCACATCCTCAATGGAAGTTTGGAAAGGCTAAATGTTTAGCAAGGCTTGGAAGAGATGACCCTCATTCCTAGATTGAGGGAGGAGGTAGATGGGAGTTTGTGAGAAGAAAGTGCCATTTTGGACACTGGAAACAAGTGAAACAGACAGATACTGCTGGGAGCTGCTTAAAATACCACAGGGTGGGAGCTGGAAACAGGATGTCTCTTTTAGGGATTTCTATGCTCTCTAGAAGTGCTCTGCTTACAGTGGTAGAAAGTGCTGTCAACTCACAGCCAATTTATGGTGACCCTGTAGGGTTTTCAAGGCAAGAGACATTCAGAGGTAGTTTGCCATTGCCTGCCTCTGTGCAGAAACTAGGACTGCCAGGTCCGACTCATGAAATACCTGGGGACTTTGGGGTGGAGCCAGGAGCAAGGATGTGATCACCTCTGTGATGTCACATCCTGTGATTTCACTTCCAGGTCCACCCCGCACACCCAGAAGGTTCCTGTGATTCCATGGTAGGAGCTTGTGCTTCTAACACAGTGGTTGCTTTCAACTCATTCTCCACCCAAGCCACATACAAACCCAGGACTTCCTTGGTTGTCTCCCATCCAAGTAATAAGCAGGGCTGACTGCTTAGCTTCCGAGGTCTGACAAGATTGGGCCAGCCTGGGCCATCCAGATCAGGGCATGTTCTACATGTAAATAAAACAAGTGCTACAGAAAACACAGCAAGTCAGTAAGTGCTACCCTGGGAACTTCTCACTCTTGGGGAAATGGAGCACATGCATTTTATTTTATATGTTTCTATCCTGCTTTATTTTCTTAGTCTTAAAGCAGCTAAACTGCACAAAAAAGCATTAAAAAATCATTAACAAATGCAGAAGTACGTTCCTTCTGCTTGTGCTGCAGCAGCTTCCTTTCAGTTGTGTCTCAAACAGGTGAATCACAGACTGACAACCAGCAGGCTCCCTGACATGGAGATGCGTTGTTGTAAAACCTTCGTTGGTTGCATCATCATCATTTATGGATTGCCCAGTCCCTGCAGTAGCTCAGGATATCAGCTCTGGGCAATGTACAACATTTAGTAAAAACGACAAAACCGTAGAATAAAATATAAAAACAGTACTAATACAGCAAATCTAAAAGAGTCACCTGGCAAAGTTTCACAATTTCTTCTCATTCTGGACTGTGGCCACCTCATGGGTGGGTGGAAGAGGAACAGAGTAGGCTAGATTGGAAGGGAGGGCGCCAGCCAGAATGGAACCCATTGTTGTCCTCAACCAAAAGCCTGGCAGAACTTCTCTGCTTTACAGGCCCTGTGGAATTCCATAAGGTCCCACAGGGCCCTGATGGTGTTCTGCAGAAAGTTCCACCAGGTCGGGGCCAGGACCAAAAAGGCCCTGGTCAAGGACAGCAGGATATCTTTGGGTCCAGGGATCACCAGCAGATTGGTATCCAAAGAGCGTAACACTTTCCTGGGAACATTCCAGAGGAGACAGTCCTGCAGATACATCAGTCAATGACTGCTCAGGGCCTTGAAAGTCAGCACCAGATCCTTGAACTTGACTCAGTAGTCTCATGCAGCTTTTCCAAGCCCTGTGGCTCAGCCAGAGCAAGTGTGTGATGATGAGTAAAAGGGAGGCAATGTGAGAGCTGGCAGTGGCATGGCATAGTGGTTGGCATGCTGGGGTAGGAGCTGGGACGATTGAGTTTGAATCCCATCTGCCATGGAAATTCACCCAGTGACCCTGGGCCTGTCACAATTTCTCAGCCTAGCCTACCTCACTAGGAGGTTGTTGTGAGGATAAGGGGAAAGAGGGGAGAAGGATGTGAAAAGCTTTCTTCAGACAGAAGAAAGTTTTATAAATTTTTAAAAAGTGACAGATTGTGGACAGGAGATATGGAAGGTCTCAGGTTTAATCCGTTTAAAAGGATCAGGAGGTTGGCAATGTGAAAACCCTCTATCTAAGACTCTGGAGAGCTGATCAAGATGTTGGTCTGTCTGTAGCAGTAGAAAAGAGCAAGAGTCTAGCAGCACCTTAAAGACTAACAAAATTTGTGGCAGGGTATGAGCTTTTATGACTCACAGTTTGAGCAGAAAATACTGATGTTGGTGGACCCAGGGTCTGAGTCAGTAGAGGGCAGCTTCTTGAGTTCATGGGACTCCTCCATTAACCAAGCAATTTTGGCCACATTGCAGTAGATCGTTATAAACTGTGTTAAAGAGAATATAGCGAAATTTAAAAAAAAAACATGAAAAGTGTATACCTACACTTTATTAATCTTTAGAAAGGCCGTGTGCCCCACTCATATATTCCTTCCTCTGTTGGGTCCATGATTTGTCTTTTCCTTCAGAGCCAAATGTTGTTTCTCTGCTGCTCTCTAGTGGCAAAACTGAAAATGGTGTGTGTGAAATGGAAAAGCAAGGATTTAACTTTCCCTCAACTCTGAAAATGAAATGCAAGTAGTCCCTGCAAGATTGTTGTGAAGATGCCTACATGTATGCCACCGTAAGCTCCTTGCAGGAAGGCTGGGAACACAGATATGATCAATATTTTCACCTTCTGCTTCCAGACCAAAGTCTCAGCCATTGGAGCCTCATGTTAGTTACTTGTTCTCTCCTCAACAGCCTTCTGGTCAAGACTGGGTTTTTCCTTCCAGAACATATTCTAGAGGGTTCAGGTTGGCATGAAAGGCATTCCATATACATTTTTATTTTCGCACAGGAGTGAATTAATGTTCTACCCCACCCTTCACTACCCAAAGGTGTCTCAGAGCGGCTTACAAGCTCCTTTCCCTTGCCCTCCTCACAATAGACACCCTGTGAAGTAGGTGGGGCTGAGAGAGCTCTGACAGAAACTGCTCTCTTTCAAGAACAGCTCTTATCAGAACTACAGCTCGCCCAAGGTCATCCAGCCAGGTGCAAGTGGAGGAGTGGGGAATCAAACCCGGTTCTCCCAGAGTCTGCACACTTAACCACTACACCAAACTGGCTCTCAAGCTAAATCCCACTAACTGTTTATTCCAGTAATATTC